TACTTTGTATTGTTTTTGCTGCTTTGAATTCTTCATCCGTATGTCAAGGCTTCTCTTTTTGCTTTGAAACAATTTGTTATTCATCGTACGAATTCTTAAAGCAATGTTCAAATGGTTTTTCTTCCCTTAAAGACGTGAAGTTTGCGTATTTTTCCGTCTTTTATACTGTGTACTCTCTCCTTATAGGTACGCAGCAGTTTTCGCTCTAAAGATGTGTCCTCAAGCGTTCATTTGATTGCAAAGGTAGAAGTCCTTTTAGCTTACGAACCTGCTTTGTGTTCTCTACTTTACATTGTGTCCTAAAATATGTTTGTTGTTGGCTATTGTACCCAGCAATAATGATGCTATGAATTTATAAGTTATCGCACCTCTTGGTTTTTTTACGCAGTTATGTGAACCACACTAGCGAGGTTTAGAACAATCAAGTAGCGGTTGGAAAATATACATAACTATAAGGGCCCATTAAGAGCTTTTGCGTACACATAGGGATCGGCGCCATGCAAGCGACTGCGGGTCTGCGGAACCAGCCCACCACCTGGCTGTGTCACGAGATTGCTTCGCTCACTGGAGGCTTGGAAGGACCCCGCTCAGGCGCCATCATCCAAAGAGCAGGCCAAACTGAATAGCTTTGCATGCGAGCGCAGGCGCCGCCGAAGGCACGAAATCCTCCATCTCTGGTTCGAGGCTGCTCAAAGGATGCTCATTAGCAGTACATTCTACCGGTACACAGACTTCTCAAAGTGTCTTATCAATGTAGCTCTGGTTTTAACGTTAACGTGAGCTGTTTTGGTCGGGTGACTAAAACTTTCAGCATTCCGGGCATGAAAGCCTATGAACATCCACGATCAATTCTTGAGCAATCAAAATATTTTACACAATTCTTAACAACGCTCATTTTGATTTCTCCACTTTTTTAACTATCCCAATGCCACAGAGAGCTGGTATTCACTTCTTGAAAAGCTCTTTTTTCGAAGAAATGCGAAACAGCCAAAATGCAACCCTGATTTGGGCCAAGAATGCTTTCGACTGATACACTTTATAGGTTTTCTTCAGGTTCACGCTAATAAAGCATTCATCGCTTATGGTTCCACTGCATATAGGTTGAAGCTGATGCATCACATATTCTGGGCAATGCGAGCGTTTGCGATAGTGACAAGGAAGCGACAGGTGGCGGCAGCAATGCCTCTGATGAAGGAGGCGGAGGAGATGAAGCAGTTGGGGTTCGCGGCTGCGCATGACCAACGACGTCTGTTGAGGTGGGTGCTGCGAGCCTGGGTCCGTCGGGCCCGCGGACTTCGCTTAGCTCTCCACCAGCAGCGGGTCGTCACTGCCCACACCCAGCGAGCTATCCTCCAACGAGCTTTACGCGCTTGGCTCGATTTTTGCGCTTGCCGAACATCCATTAACATTGCAGCTGCGCACTTTGAGGTATCCTTATGTTTGTCATCAAACGCACACTACTACGCTAGTTCCAAAATTTTTGTCTCATGCATTCAATATTGCAACAGTGCATTTGCAAATTATATTGCCTGCACAAATGCGCGATTCGTTTTTGAAGACTTGACAAGTTGAAGCATGGGCGCAGTGCTTCAGCCTCGAATCTGAGGCCGTCTCAGTTCTGTTTTGTTTTATGATCTGGTGATCCTTTTCCGTCCCACCATTCGATACATACATGTTTTAATTTGCTCTAACTATTTATGCCTAAGGAAATGACTGAGTCATAAAGAAATTATTTTGATTTGTAGTTTGACGGTTTCAAACTAGTAGCAAATGCAAATTTTGCGGATAATGTGAAAATTTATTTTGCTCCATAACTTTTTAATGCTTACATGAATCATTTTTGACACGTTTTTTATCACATCATCATGCTCTTTATAGCGTCGAAGCATGTGAATAGGGATATAATTATTTGTAAAAGTTTTCTTTACTGTCATTACTTTTTTCGAAAATAGTTTGACAAGGGAAGTCTCACGCGAGTTGCTAACCCTTGGCATTGTTGCATGAATTTCGAAGGATCCTCTAAAAGTTGGTTTGCCTATTCGCAGTTATTAGTGTGTCATAATGCTTAGGCGACAAGAGACACGAGGTTGTGTCAAGCTGTCCTTCGGCAATGGCGATCGGTGGTGGGTAGGCGGAAGAGAATGTATGAGTGCTACTACAGCGTCTGCGCGCTGCACCAGAAGCACCTGATGGGCCGGGTGCTGAGTCGTTGGGGCCACCACGCTCACGTCAAGGCTACTGCCACGAGGATCGCTGAGGCAATGATTCGACGTGGTCACAAACGCCTCCTTCGCAAGGTTACTAAGTCTGTTCTCGTCTACTTGCTATTCCTTTTTGTTTCCTTCATGAAATAAGATTAATTTTAGTCAAACCTAAAAGGGTCCTTGTATACGAAAGCTATCGTCAACATAGTTGCATAAAACCCCATAGAAGCAAATGGAGCAGCTGATCCTGCCTATATCGTATAAGTAGCTTTTCCTAAATTTCTTCTATTGTAGGAGTTGAATGTGCTGCTTGTTTCTTTCATGTCTATCAAGGTCAGCATCACAAGCGATTATTTTCGCTTATAGGAGGTTTCTATACATTGGTTAAGCCACTTGGGCTTACGTATTTGGCTTTTAGATTGTGCTTCACATCATCAAAAACGAATAATGCCTGATACTTCATAAACAATACGCCTAAGCGCCACCAATCACCCTATTGAGTACTTAAAAAAATTCAAAAGAATTTCAGAAATGCCACTTTTAACAGCGGTCTGCGTGCTTTTAACATGTAAGCTTCATCGCATACGCCCTGCTAGGACGATAGGTAAGTACTTGTCGTACAACCGGCTAATTATTTTGTGTCATCTGATTCCTTGC